GACTGGCGCCATGTTTAGAAACCCACATTTTTATTTGGTTTTAATTTCTTTTAAATGCAAATCTTCGATATGAATTTAAAAATTTATTAATCATTTTTATTGGCAAAAAAAAAAAAAAAAAAACAATACAAAATAAAAATTATTGTTTTTTTTTTTTTTTTGTACAAAAACCAGATTCAACGCTATTTATGACGTGCGAAAAGCATGGCCATTGAAAACAGCAAGTGGCAAATTAATATCAGTTCTTCGAACCAGTTGTTCGAATGTTCAAATCTATCCTAAGATTAACAAGTAAAAAGCTGTAGGTTCGGCCGGGCCGAACTTTTAATACCCTCCACCATTTGGTACAAATTTGACAATTTCCAAAAAAAAAAAAAAAAAAATAAAATCCGTAAATGTTTTTTTTTTAAATCTTAAAAATACCGAATGCCTATACGACGACGTGGACCTGCATAAGCAACTTTTGTCATAAGTTATTACAATATTTAAATGCGAAACTTGAAGAAAAATCTGTTTATAATGTAGCTAAAATCATCAAAACACCGAATATCGGGAGGTACCGTTATATGGGGGCTATACGAAGACGTGGACCTGCACAGATAAATTTCTGTCTTAGGCTGTAGTATCCATTACGAACTTCAAATACCAAATTTGAAACAATTCCGGTGAATAATGTCGCTAAAATCATCAAAATACCGAATTTCGGGAGGTATAGTTATATGGGGGCTATATGAAGACGTGGATCTGCACAGATAATTTTCTGTCTTATGCTGTAGTATCCATTACGAACTTCAAATACCAAATTTGAAACAATTCCGGTGAATAATGTCGCTAAAATCATCAAAATACCGAATATCGGGAGGTACCGTTATATGGGGGCTATATGATAACTTGGGCCTACATGGCCCATTTACGAACTTAACCTGCCTACTGGCAAAATATACATGTGTGCAAAATTTTAGCCTTCTATCTCAATTTGTTCGATATATAGCGTGATTACAACAGACAGACAGACAGACAGACAGACAGACACACAGACGGACATGGCTAAATCGTCTTAGAATTTTACGCTGATCAAGAATATATATACTTTGTTGGGTCTGACATTAGTATTTCGAGGAGTTACAAACGGAATGGCAAAATTAATATACCCTCCATAGTATGGTGGTAAACCATAGGTAAACAATATAGATATGAATATTTGGAAATTTTATATAATATAGAGGAAAATTTCAGGATACAAATCTGTCTCTGATCACAAAGGAGCAACTTCTTTGACTGAACTGAGGTTCGATTTGTTTCGAAACAAATTAAAAAGTATCAGAGCAAAAAACGTCGGATGAAAGCAAAAAATATGGGAAATTGCATCAAATTTTAGATTAAGTTTAGATTTGTTCGAATTGGTCACCTTTGGTATAAATTATGGCCTTCAGGAAACGGCCAATGAAACCATCACACCCTGTCCGAATGATGCTCTGCGGTATTTTGGTCAATTCCCGGCGAAGCGCTTGCTTGAGGTTTTCGACATTTGGCTAATTTTTAGTGTCAACCTTGCGTTCCAAAGTACTCCAGACACGATAGTCCAACGGTTTTTTTTATACGGAGATTTTGGTGGCCATTGTGCGCTGGAAAAGAAGCTAGGAAACTCATTTTGTAACTATTCTTGGTAGGCGCGTGCTGAGTGCGATGGCTGGAATTGTTGTGTGGCCAAGGCTTTAATACACCCTCCAGAATATTTTCGCGATAATATTCGGCATTTATTCTGATGCCACGTTCGATTAATACGATCGGAGAGCAACCATAGGCTGTTATGGAGGCCCATAACCACCATCACCATGGTCGGCGCTTGAGTTTTGGTGGCTAACCGAAGGTGAACATTTTCATCTGATCACGATCATTTTGTTTGTTTACAAACTGCTGGACAACTGTGGCGAATGTTTTCTCATCGAAGAAAATCAAATTCGCCACTTTCGGGCAAGGGAAGCATGTTCTTTCTGTGGCGGTATAAGTTCTTGCACTTTTTGGAATTTCAATGGCTTTAGCCCGAGCTCATTTTTCAATATTTGCCAAATGGAATATTGAGAAATATTCAGCTCACGAGCCATTTTTAGGCCACTGCGACGCGGGTTTCGATCAAGTCGTTTCTTTACTTGTCGAACCATTTCAAAAAATGGCAAAAATTTTGACCCTTTGTGGAGGAGGTACCGAAAGAAGTGGATCAATGTATCACATCTTTACAGCAGATCTTTGTATTTGTAGAAGTAATGGGATGTGTGAAATGTGAAGAGATCCGGATGCTTATTTCAGATTTTATAATTGTTTTGGTTATTCAAAACGTTGACCCTTTGTGGGGGAGGTACCAGAAGAAATGGAAATGAAATGCTACCATCTTTAGATGTGCCAGGTCCGAATGGAATCAGACATAAATTTCGTGTTTTATGAGCCATCAAAATGAGGGGGATGTTCTTGATGGAGTGGACCGACATTGTCTATTTTCGCACCATATCTTGGGTTAATAAAAATATTGGAATTGCTAAATTGTTTCGAAAGTTATGACAGATAAAATTATTGAAAATTGTGATCCTTGGTGGGTGAGGTACCAGAAGCGGTTCGCAGATATATATCAACTTCACAACAGATCTTGCGTTAGCAAAAATATATGTATGTGTGAAATTTTAAGAGAGTTGGATGCTTAGGTTGGATGGGGAGGTACTTGATGGAGTGGACCGATATTGTCCATTTTCGCACTTGACCTAGAACTGACGAAAATATTAGGATTTGCTAAGTTTGAGCATAATCGGATTATTGCTTCTCTTTATGTGTGGAAAATATATTTTTTTTTTTTTTTTTTTTTGAAAATTTCGACCTTTGTGGGGGAGTTACCCGAAGGAGTGGACCTATACATTCAATTTTCACACTAGACCTTGGGCTAATAAAATTATTGGGATGTGTGAAATTTGAAGACTATCGGACTCTTACATCACATTTTATAAGAGTTGTAATTATTCAAAATTTTGATCCTTTGTGTGGAGTGGACCGATATTGTCCATTTTCGCACCTGTCCTAACACTGATGAAAATATTGGCATTTGCAAAGTTCGAGCAAAATCGGATTATCGTTTCTCTTTCTGTGCAAAAAATATTTATTGAAATATCGACCTTTTGTGGGGGAGGTACCAGCAGGAGTGGACCGATACTTTCCATTTTCACACCAGACCTTGTGCTAGTAAAATTATCGGGATATGTAAAATTTGAAGACTATCGGACCCTTACATCACATTTTATAAGAGTTGTAATTATTCAAAATTTTGATCCTTTGTGGGGGAGGTCCCTGATGGAGTGAACCGATATTGTCCATTTTCGCACCGGACCTAGCACTGATCAAAATATTAGAATTCGCAAAGTTCGAGCAAAATCGGATTATCCTTTCGTTTTCTGTTTCGCAATAAATTTTCTTTGAAAATGTTGACATTTTGTGTGGGAGGTACCAGAAAGAGTGAACCGATATTGCCCATCTCCGAACTCGATCTAAGTTTGGCAAAAATATTACGATGTAAAAAGTTTGGATCAAATCGGATAATCCTTTCGAGAGTTATCGTGCGCACCTGCCAGCCAGACAGGCAGACGGAGGGACGGACGGACATCGGTAGATCGACTCCAAATGTTCTGAAACGGATTGGGTCCAAAGAGACCTAGGGTCTAAAACTGTTATTTCGACTAGGCACGCTTTGACCGTATCAAATGATATATACCCTCTGCGGCCATATGGCTGAGGGTATAATTAAAATCGGTGTATACCCTTATATGGGGACTATTTCACTACGTGATTCGGCATGACCCATATTCTGAACAATTAATTCTACATTTAAGGTCATTATTAAATTTTAAAGCCCTATTTTAAATTATGCGAAGTATATAGCTAAATATTTGAGGCCCTTTGCATATGGCGAAGGCTAAATGGGCCCAAAAAAGAAAATTTGCTCCACTAACCAAATACATGTTTACCTCAAATATATTTATTCATATTTTTGTGGTAAATAAAAGTAATCCAGTTTATTGCCAACGCACATTATCGTATTCCTCCCCAAAAGCTATAGCACACTTTTAGGTCGACAATTGCAAGAAATTTAGGAATAACACACAAACCTATTTCACCATTACCATTTTCAGAAGTTTTAAAATTCATTCATTAGTTAATAATAGAATTATTAAAATTGTTCAAAATTCAAATTTATGAAGCTACATTTGAGGCATAAGATGTGAACACACAACAATTTCGATAATAAAATCAAATTGGTAATTTAAAAATTTAAAGCATACTTTAAGGCAATGTTTGCCATAGGTAATTCAAGCGTATTTGCAAAATAATTTTAAAATATTTTCCACAACTATTTGGATCATATTTACAATTAAATTCTAAGCCAACGCACATAACGACATGTCTCACCAAAAATTTACAGTATACTTTTAGGCAAACAATTTTAAAATAAAGCCACAACAACACACAAATTGCCACTATAATGGAGGAATATATTAAAGTCCATGCCTATACATACAGGGTGAGATAAAAAGCAACCAAGTCAAACGCCATAATTTTTTAAAATTTTATTGAATGAAAGCAAAAAATTTCGGAAATTGCATCAAATTGAGAATAAGTTTAGATTTGTTAGAATTTGTCATCTTCGGCTCGAATTTTGGCCTTCAAATGGCCAATGAAACCGTTAAACCATGCCCGATTCCCGGTGAAGCCCTTCAACTTCCTTGACGAGACACAAAAGATCTATTCACATTTAAATGACGGAGTGCTCTAACGATAGCCACTTGTGGGTTTCCAGCCAAATATAAAAAATTACACTATCACGCTGGAATCTCCATCCATCACGAATAACTTTTTTTCTGGAAAATTATCACCAAAATGCTTTTGTACGCTTGTTAAAAATATAATGAGCTGTCACTGGAATAATTTTAACAGCTGTCGGACGAGTGGCTTATAAATGACAGCAGTCTGAAGTTGGTTGCAGTTTTTTCATCTCACCCTATACATAAAAATTTAAAAATGTATGCTCTTGGCCCTCAGACATGCTAGGACATGCAATTTTCATGTTAAAGAAGATGACACATGTTATGACATTTTTAATTACCTCCTCCCCTTTTTGGGCCACCGAACAACAATAACAAGGTAAAGCTTAATGTTACAAAACAATGAAATTCAATTATTTTACAACTCTCTCTCTCCTTTCCACCGCTTGCCTCTGTGGGGGAAAAAGGCAGAAAATAATTTCAAATCATTTCGAAAACAATTTCATCAGTTGCCACTGGTCCGCACTGCAAACATGAATTGCCAGCAATATGTTCGCAAGACATTGGGTGAATCGAGCATTCACGGTTTCCCGTACTTGGTCAAACGTGAGCTGCACTGGATGGAAAAGTTATTTTGGATTTTAATGATATCGCTGGCCGCCTATACCTCCATTGATATTTGCCTGAATCAATGGAAACGTTTTCGCGACAATCCCATTGTTTATGCCATGGAACTGGCATGGGGTAAATCGAATTTCCCTTTTGTGGGTATAACGTTGTGCTCCGATTATGTGGATAAGCATGAATTCGAACACATCATTGAGGATATGTGGCATGTCGGGCGGGAGGACAATCAAACGGCCTTCCAGTACTATTGGGATTTTTTGAAGGTTTTGAATGCCTTGCATATTGCAAATTTGGCGAATTTGAGACCATATGAAAATGATTCGCGTTTGAACGATTTGAATTTTTTGCAAATGTTGATAAGGGTAAGTGGATAAAGGGATATTTTGAGCATCTGTTTTTTAAATTATTAATGTTGTAAATTAATTAAAATTAATTTTTAATTCTATTATTTATTATTATTATTATTATTATTATTATTATTATTATTATTATTATTATTATTATTATTATTATTATTATTATTATATTATTATTATTATTATTATTATTATTATTATTATTATTATTATTATTATTATTATTATTATTATTATTATTATTATTATTATTATTATTATTATTATTATTATTATTATTATTATTATTATTATTATTATTATTATTATTATTATTATTATTATTATTATTATTATTATTATTATTATTATTATTATTATTATTATTATTATTATTATTATTATTATTATTATTATTATTATTATTATTATTATTATTATTATTATTATTATTATTATTATTATTATTATTATTATTATTATTATTATTATTATTATTATATTATTATTATTATTATTATTATTATTATTATTATTATTATTATTATTATTATTATTATTATTATTATTATTATTATTATTATTATATTATTATTATTATTATTATTATTATTATTATTATTATTATTATTATTATTATTATTATTATTATTATTATTATTATTATTATTATTATTATTATTATTATTATTATTATTATTATTATTATTATTTATAACAAGACTTCAAAATAACAAGATTTGGTAAAATTATGGCAAAAAAGGAAAAAATACTTCAAATCGGAATTATGCCTACAAGGTGACATAAGTGGAGCGATTGTGGACTCAATTTTAGTACCAATAATTCTAGATGTAATCCAAAGATCTCTATCTAATTTCAAAGCCCTATCCTAAATGTTGAGAAATATTTCTCAATATATAGGAGTTCCTTTGTATATGGTCAAAACCAGGCCTGAAAAAACGCTTGGCCTAAGAACCTGGAGCTCCTTTGGGGTTTTGATCTAAAAACTAATAAATAAAAACAAACTGGCTATTCGATAGCGAATTTATAAGAAAACACGAAGCGGATTGGGAAAAAGTACTTATTTTTCGAAACATTTCAAAAATTTTTATTATTTTTAATTAACTGGGATATTGATAATATTTTTTCATGGTAAATATTGCATATACAAATTTCTTTTCTTCAGAGACTCACAATGAAATTCGATCTAGAATAATGTCTCCTTTGACACTTCCCCCCAAAAATCATGTATAAAGAGAGATTTTGACTTGGAATGGAAAAGTCTTAAATGAATAGTAAATAAAAAAGGAAACAAATTATTTTCACATTTATTTTAAATAAATTTCGAATGTAATTTTCTTGAAAACTATTGTACCTAGGTATTTGATTTATTCTCAGATTTAAGGTGAAATTTTGTGTAGAATATTTCTTCTTCTGACAACTTCTGCATAAAACAAAATTTTATGTTACTTTAAGGCATTAACTCGAAAAAAGTTCGAGGAAAAATTGATCAAATTGATGATTAGGGAATATTTATACTCTCGAAGGTATATATCATTTATTACGGTCAAAACGTGCCTAGTCGAAAAAATGGTTTTAGACCCTATATCTCCTTGGACCAAATCCGTTTCAGAACATTTGGAATCGATCTACCAATGTCCGTCCGTCTGTCTGTCTGTCTGGCTGGCTGGTGCGCACGATAACTCTGTCTATCTGTGGAAATCACTCTAGCTTCCGAACGAAATACAGCAAGTTGATAAAAATTTTCTCAAATGTGTATTATGTCTGCAGGACTTTTGGTATTAAAAATGGTCCATGTAGGTCCACGCCTTCGTATAGTCCCCATATAACGGTACCTCCCGATATTCGGTATTTTGATTAATTTAACGACATTGTTTACCGGAATTGTTTCAAATTTGGTATTTGAAGTTCGTAATGGATACTACAACATAAGACAGAAAATTGTCTGTGCAGGTCCACGTCTTCGTATAGCCCCCATATAACGGTAGCCCCCTATATTCGGTATTTTGATGATTTTAGCGACATTATTTACCGGAATTGTTTCAAATTCCGCATTTGAAGTACGCAATGGATACTACAGCCTATGAAAGAAAATTGTCTGTGCCTGTTCACGTCTTCGTATAGCCTCCATATAACGGTAGCCCCCGACATTCGGTATTTTGATGATTTTAGAAACAGTATTCAGAAGTTCGCAATGGATACTACAGCCTATGACAGAAAAGTGTCTGTGTAGGTCCACGTTTTATAACCCCCATGGTACCTCCGTATATTCGGTATTTTGATGGTTTTAGCTACATTGTAAACAGATTTGTGTTTTTAAGTTTCGCATTTGAATATTTTAATAGTTTATGGCAAAAGTTGCCTATGCAGGTCCACGTCGTCGTATGGACCCTAATAAACGGCTACATTTGGTATTTTTAGGATTTTTAAAGGATTTTATTTTTTTGACAATTGCCAAATTTGTACCAAATGGTGGAGGCTATACAAAGTTCGGCCCGGCCGAACTTACAGCTTTTTTACTTCTTTGAATTAAAGTTATTGTTTTTTATTAATTATTTTAACTATTATCTTATAATTTATTTATTAAATAATTAATTTTTGTTTTCTACATAGATGCGCCAAAAGGTTTTGCCGGAAAAGGTCTTGGCCGACAGTGACGAACCGCACACCACAACGGATTTGGAAATTCGAGAAATGGCCTATGCGGCGGCAATAACTGAGGCCGGTCTGTGCCGGTCTACATCGCAGTTGACGAAATATACAAATCCTTTTGGAGATTTGTGAGTATGACGAAATGTGGTTGCAATTTTAAAAGATGAAAATAATTGCAGCACCAAAAATTAGGGAAATTCGGTCAAGGGACATTTTTTCTACCAAAATATTTCTACACGTTTCTGTACTCTTTATTTATTCCACATTATTTCAGAAAACCTCTAAAAGTTTCAAAACGTCGTTACTGTGACATTATGAACGAATGCAACACGAAGATATATCCCAAGGTATCGGATGATTTAAATTTGTTTATTGTAAGAGAATTCAAAGGACCTTCCCAATTTTAATCTAAAAATTAAAATAAAAATCCCATTTCAGTATCTGCACAGTGTGGAAGAAATATTGGTGCCTTTGGATCCGGGAACAATACTGAGGCGTGCCAGCATGGATGGGTCCTTGACCGTAGAATTGCTACTCTCGTTGACTACGGCAGAGACGGAAGTACGTAATCTGCCCATAGCCTATCGGAAATGTCGTTATAAGGATGAAAACATATTGAAATACTTTGGGGTAAATTTTAATTTTTTTTTAACAATTTTCAAATTTTTTCTTTCAAATTCCCCCGCTTCAGGTCTACCGCCCTGGCCTGTGTCGCATTGAGTGCCGCATCAATGCCGCCTTCAAGAAATGTGGCTGCAAACCATACTTCTATGTTGTGGCACCACACATACCCATCTGTGACATCAAGGGCATGCTGTGTCTGAACAAAGAAAATTGGCCCCATTCGGTGCAGTGCAACTGCCTCAAGCTGTGCCAGGAGGCTCAGTATATTGGGGTGCAGACCACCTCGCAAAAGGATGTATGATCAAGGAACTTTTACAACCTTCAAATGAAATTCTTGTTTTTCTATTAATTTGCTTTCATTCCCTTTTAGGATACTACGAAATTCGAACGCACCATAATCGTAAAGCTTTTTTTGCCACGCATGGCCATGAAACGCCGTGTGGTGTTTAGTACCGATCAGCTGATAATGTCCTTTGGCGGGGCAATTGGTTTATTTTTGGGTGCCAGTTTTATTAGCATCTATGGCCTGGTGTTTGTCTTGAGCGAGTTTGTGTTCTCCAATTGTGTGGCGTTGGTGAGGGGAGAGAAGAGGAAGAAAACAAGTATGCAGCAAATAGAGAAGAGAGTGGAGGAGGTTGGCCATATTACTACCGTGACGGTTGTTGGGCAGAGAAGATATTAAATAACCCCCTCCCCACCCAAATTCGTTGGAAGAAAATTAAATTTAGAAAGAAAAAAAAATTAAAAATAAATATTGCCTACATTTAGGGATGGAAATATTTAACACCACACATTAAAGCATACTTTGAGGCTCCAAGAGCATAAAAATAAATATTCGATTATAGTTTATTTAAAGCATCTACTTTAAGGCTTCGAGAGTCAAAAATACATATTTAATTAAAATTTATTTTTAAATAAGTTCTCAAAACCGTAAAAGGTATTGGGGTGGGTGATTCTTTCGGGAAAAAGAAAAGTCTTGTGGCCAATATTTTAATGAGAGAAAAATCAGTGGGAATTTTTGTCGCATGGAAGCAAATATTGAGAAGAAAGTGTTTACCCTAACGAATACAAGAATTTAATCTCCTACCTATCGATATAGAGAAAAAGGGTGCCCTGTCAACATCATTTATCTATAAACTCCCATCAATGTTTTCGATATTCAGAAGACGTATCCTCGCTATGAAAAATCTATAAAGGTTTTCCATCTGAGAAAAATCTCTCAAGGCTCTTTTTGAGAAGAATTGCTAAAGGCTTTTCAGGAAACATGTCAAAGTTCTTCCATATATGGAAGACTTGTCAATGCTCTACATTCTTCAGAAGGTCTACTAAATGTTTTCCCCATAAAAAAGACTTTTTTAGAAGGCTTACCATAGCCTACCAAATATCTACGATCTATGAATGACCTGAAATTTAGCCTAGTTAGGTTTAGAAAAGTTATTCTTCTTTAGGCTAGTGAAAGAAGATCTACAAAAGCTTTAAGAGCTATAAAATACCTGTTAAAAGGACATACCTAGAACATCCGCCTAAAAAGATCTGTTCGAAAGATAACCATCTATTTATAGAAGAAATGTCAAGGATCTTTCGTCCATCGACCTGTCTTTTATATAAGATATATAAATTTATAGAAGACATGCCCAAATTGTCTATGTACAGACCAACGTTCTAAAGACCTCTGGGCTTCCATTGTCCTTTTATTTAAAATGAGAAGACATATCAGAAGTCTTTCATCTTTAGAGGATCTGCCGAAGGTCTTCATTATATATACATCTATTAAAGACTTATTTTCAGAAAAGCAAACAAGGTATTTCAACCTTCCTTGTCTAAGTCCTTCCAACCCTAGAACACCTGTGAGGGGTGTCTGCCAATGATTTTTATTCCACTACGTGTTGGGGGTATTATAAGTTTGATTGGTTTCCCACATAGGAAAGTACATATGGATCTTCCTAGCAAGCCGAGCTGAGTCGATCTAGCTATGTATGCCCGTCCGTACGTCTGTCCGTCTGTCCATGTTAATTTGTAATCACTCTACAGGTCGCAATTATGGCCCAATTCCCACGAAATTGAAAATGGAGGTGGTGTTATGGTTCGAATAGAACCCGATTATTTTTGGAAATGATCGCAAAATATTTAGGGGTTGAAATGGACCAAAAACAGAAAAAATACTTGATGTTGCAGGTGCTCTACAGGCCACAATTATAGACCAATCTGCGCGGAATTTTGCCTGGAGTTAGATTTTAGGACAGGGCAAAAGCGTACAAGTTTGGATGGTCATCGGACCACATTTAGCGGGTAAAATAAATCATCGCCTTTTTGTAAAAAATACGAAATTTTCCACTAAACCGCGGATATTTTTTATCCTGGCGAAATCACCAATAGGATGAGAATTAAAGCCTACTGTTATGGAGATTTAAATTCAAAATTGACCAAAAAAAATTAAGAAACATTTTCCTGAAAGAGGAAAGAAGTCGAGCATACTGGATGACTATTGGATTATCCTTAGCTGTAAAATGGACCATGGCTTTTGTGAATTTTTTTTCGAATACATAACACGGCGGAGTGCGTAAATAAGGGTAAATCTGGGCAGGCCTCTATGACATTATTTCAATATCGAAATCTTCCAAAATGAATTTGGACATAAGGGGGCCTCCAACATATTGTAGTGTTATAGGGTATCACATGGTCGGCCCGCACGACGCACGACTATAGCCTTTGCTTATTTGTTTAACCATAGGTCTGCTTACCTATAGAAACCCTGTGAAATTCTCTCATCAATAAAAAAAAGAAACTTATCAAATTTCGTAAAGGGTTTTTTGCAGGGTATCGATGGATTACTCCCACAATTCCTATTATTTATCGAAAACATAAGATATATTCTATGAATGGAACGCCTGTAGAGGATCACTTTCAAACCTGTATCAAGCCTTCTATTTTTTGAAGTCACATAACTCTTCTTAATTTCTTTCTCCCAGATTTTATTTACGCCTTAAATATGAGTTGTCATTTTAATCCAAAAACTGCCTTTTCATAATCGCCAAACAATTTGCCATAACAAATGATACATTTTTACCAATTCGACATAAGCTGCAACAAACACACATACACACTTATGTCCATCATCTTCATCACCACGAAGCTCAGCTTAGAAATGAAGAATTTGTCATGATTTGTTAGTTTGTCGCTCGCTTAACTCGGCTCCAGTGATTAATTATGTGCGCGCCATGTCTCGTTGCCTGCCTCTCATTTCTCGCTGGAGAGAAAACGTGAAAGGTAACTCAGCATTTTCCAGTTCGCAGACATAAGACATGGTATGTAGGTAGTACACATGTTTCGTTGTATGTTTGCCTATTAAAAAGTGAAAATCTAAGCCATCTACTAAACAACAAATTAACCAACCTAACAACCACCTGCTGTAACACACTCTTCTACTTTTGTCATAAATGACGTTAATTTATCAAAATGAAGTTGTAATTTGGGTTCCACAAAAAAAGAAAGAAAAAATAATAAAAAAAGAAAATTAGAGAGGTAAATTAGATTTTCCAAAAACAAGTACCGGTGTTTTGAAATTAGTTTGGAGTTTTTTTTTTAATTTAAAAAAAAAACAATGTCAAAGTCAACCTGTATGCAAATAGGTCACCATTTACATGTCTACCTCATATAAAAATAGAAGATCTCTCATAGAACCTTTTTAGATGGAAGGCCTTTTTTGTAGACCTTCAATAAAACAAGTTAAAACGTATCAGTCGGTTTTGCCGACAGATGTATAACCTCAGTCAATTTCCGATTATATTTCCGAATATATTTTGACTTTTGCTATGATTATTCAAATTGTGTTGACCCTCAATGGAGTAGGTTCCGAAGGAATGCACCAATATTGTCCATTTCGTATCGGACCTAAATAAATATGATATAGATATTGCGACGTGCCAGTTTCGGGCTATATCGACTACTTCCTTCGCCTTATTTCAAATATGTGACAATTTTTAGAAAATGTTAAAATGTGCGGGAGGTACCTGTGATAGTCGACCGAAGTATTCCATTTATATACTTCAGCTAATACAGATAAAACAAGTAAGCAAAGGCTATAGCCGTGCGGGGCAGACCATGTGATACTCTACAACACTACAATATGTTGGAAGCCCCCTTATGTCTAAATCCATTTTGGAGTATTTCGCTTTTGAAATTATGTCGCGGAGCACTGCCCAGATATTACCCTCAGCATTTTGAACAGAGACATTCACTCCGTCGTGCTCTTATTTGTTGTGGTCCATTTTAAAGCTAAATGTAATCCAATGGTCAACCAAAATGCTTGATTTATTCCCTGTCCATAACTCTCTTCTCAGGCGTGTCGATTGGCTTCAATTGTGTGATCAGGATTTTTTTTTTCTATTTTTGGTCCATTTTATCCCCTATGGAAATAATAGGCTTAGCCCTTCTGAGCCTAACCCTACCCTTGTGAAAATATTCGTGAGGATCAGACGATAATTGCAGACTGTATATAATAACCAAAACCTGTGTTGTAAGGTGAAAAAATATTACATAATATTCACATCAATATTATAAGTCAAAATGAAAAAATCCCATGCGATAAAATTTATGAAAAAATAAAAAAATGTCACAAAATACTACAAAATCTATAAAAAAAAAACACCATTATTGACATATTTTTCTGCATTTTTTTTTTAGATTTTATACTTTTATGCCAAGAGGGCATTCTGAATTGACAAAATTTGTCAAAATCGGTCCAGTCATTCTTGAGATATAAGCATTCTAGCTAACATCATATTCCTGTGTATATACACATTGTATATATTTCGCTATATATACCCTATTTTACTATCGGCATCTACGTAACGGTCTGAATTAACCTGATCGTCTATTTGTGATTTCGCCGGGATTCGAAATATTCTCGATTTAATGGAAAATTTGACTTTTATTTATCACAAATGCTATGGTCTATTTTAACCACTAAATATTACCCGATGACCACCAAAATTGGAAGGCTTCTGCCCAGCCTGAAGCTCTAGCCCCATGCTAACTTCCGCTTTGACTGGTCTATAATTGCGTCCTGTAGAGCAACTGCAAAATCAGGAAATTTTTCAGTTTTTGGTTCATTTCAACCCCTAAATATTTTGCGATCATCTCCAAAAGAAATAGGGTTATATTCTAGCTCTAGACCGACCTCCATTTTAAATTTCGTGAAGATCGGGCCATAATTGCGACCTGTATACATAGCTAGATCGACTCAGCTCGGCGAGATAGAAAGATCCAACACATAGTGTTGTAGGGTATAAATATTGTTAAGGCCAAAATTACAAGAAAATTGAACATTTACATCCAATTCTATGCGAAATCGTAAATTCCATATTCATCTCAGTTTTCAGGTTGAGAGAATTATTTAGATATAGCAAGTTGTAAAGAATCGCTGATTTGTTCCGCTAATTATGAAATACAAAATAATTGAATTTTGTGACCCTTTGTGGGTGAGGTACCAGAAGGGGTTCGCAGACATACATCATATTTGCAAGCGTGAACTTTGAAGAAAGTCGGAAGCTTATTTCGCTTTCTTTGAGCGTTGTGTTTTTCAAAATCTTAAACCATATGTGGGGGAGGGGAGGTACAAGAGGAAATGGTTCAATCTTTACCATATTTATTACAGATCTTGTGTTGATGGAAATATTGAGATGTACCAAGTCGGAATAGGATCGGATGTCAATATCGCGTTTTATGAGCTTCATGGATATTCAACATTTCCACCTTTTGTGGTGGAGGTACCAGAAGGAATGGACCGATATATTCCATCGAAACACCAGATCCCGGATTTATACATATGTCTGTGTGTGTGTGTGTGATATTTGAAGAGAGTTTGAGGCTTATTT